AGAGATCTTCAATTTGTCTTTATGGATCTTGACTTGTGCAAATCTGTTCATCATCAAAACTTCATCTTTGATTTTTGCTAACATTCTCATTGAAAAGCATTGAAGCGGATACTATGTAAAGGGAACTATGTCTCTCCGATTATGGTATACTAAGTCGGACAACTACCGACTTAGTAAGTATTTAGACAACGACTGGTGTGGAGATGTGAATGATCGAAATAGCACAGTATGCTATGTCTTCGTTATGGGAGATACAACATTCACTTGGCTCTCAAGGAAGCAACCTATAGTTGCACTACCCACGTGTGAGGCTGAGTATGTGGCAACATCTTGGAGTGTCTTGCATTCAATATGGTTGAGAAACATATTGAAGAATTTGGAGATAATGCAAGAGGAAAAGGTGTTAATCCGATTAGACAATAGATTAACAATCGACTTGGCAAAGAACCCAATCAACCATGAGAGAAGCAAACATATTGACGTCTGTTTCCATTTTATTCAGACAAAGATGAAGAAAGGAAGCGTGAAACTTGAACATGTAAAGAGCAAGAAGCAAATAAGTGATATATTCACAAAGGCATTATCTACAACGTCATTTCAGAAATTAAGAAAGTTGATCGGGATGAAAGAAGAAAAAATTTGAGTTTATGGGTGGTTTTGTCAAATAAACTTAAATTAAGAAAAAAGTGTTTATGTAATTTTTCTTTGTTTTTATTTTAAATTGAAGAGTTGCAAGAGGTTAGGTTGATTTACGGTTTAGTTTTTATTTTGTTAGGATAAAAAATCTGGTTTGATACCAATATAGCTTTTCTTTTTTGTTGCAATTTCAGTTTCTATTCCAAAAGATTATGGGGGGTTTTTGTTAATGAATGTAAGCGCAATATCCATAGCAAAAAAATATTTTGTGCGTGAAGTTTTTTTTAACAAAAATAACCACGTTGTTTATGTGAAAAAGAAGAAAATAACATGTAGTTTTGGCCAACAATGTTGTGCAATCTAGCAATAGTGATATTTAACAGTATAATTACAAATTTACATGCAGTATATTGTGTAGACAATATCCTCCCGTATGTGAATGTAAACGCCTAAGACGTGATGAAGCGAAATTTTGTAGACAGGTAGCTCCTCAAGTAAACATAGAAGCTAACTAGACCCTAATTCTGCTGTGAAAAATTAAATCGGAATGAAGTGCCTTCTCATGCCTGTAGTTTAGGACACACAATAGAACTTGATTTTGCCATAGAACCTGTAAGTGTTATTACCTAGTTAGAATACAGAAGGCATATTTGATTCATTGGACACCTGGGAATCATACTTACATATATCCTCATAGCATGGTTGTTTTGACACAGGGTCATCTTCAAATGTGGGTGGGGCTTGACCATATACCATATCACAACTCATGTCTTCAAAATCTGAGATTAATTTCAGTTACGCGTGGTTAAAACCATCTGGCTTAATTTTTGAATTAAAAGAGAATGATCCAATCATTTATTTGGGTAAATCATATATATATATATATATATGTAATCAAGGTGGACTTTAATATTTAGTTAGTAATGAAGGCAAGAACATACTAGGAGTCATCGTTAAGGGAAGTCCAAATTCATTAGTGAAAAAATCTTGTGTAGGAATCTTGCACATATTGACACACATTCCAACGCAGCCACTATTCTCCAGGTACCTTCACATGCAAGAATAAAGAAACAATGGAGAGATAGTGAAATTGTTTCAACGGACTATTGCAAGTTTTAGTCATTTTGAATAATTTCTATTTTTCACGTTTCAAACATACACAGTATAAACATGATCGAATTGAAATAGAGATGACTTTTACGCATACGTTGAATCACCAATCTAAGACATCAAATCTACCTGCACTTCTTTATATGTACTCCACTCTTTTGCTTCACTCCATTTACCTCTACTTCCACAACCTAGTACATCTCAACAATCTAAAATATTAAGGACAATATTATGCAATATAGCAGAAAATACATTACAACAACATAAAAGGTAAACAATCGATAACCCCATTAATATCTCAGCCCATTTACAATTATTAGACAAAGTTTTTTATTTTACCTCGGATGGGCCAACCAACCAGTCGAAGAAAGGAACGGTCAATGCAGCATTAAACTCGGCAGCCCATTTTGTCGGCGGAAATAATTTCCTAAACTGCAAGAGCATAGGCAAAAGCGTTAAAAGTGTATTGATTGCGGTAGAATGATGGGATTTTTGTTCATGTGGTGAGAGATTATATATATATATATATATATTAGTGACATTGAGGTTTGTTCTTTTTGGTGAATTTGGGATGGATGATTTGGGGAAGATGATTTGAATGAATTTGAGGGTAATTTTTTAGTTGTTTTTTTGAGTGGATTTGTGGGTAATTGAGAATGGATGTAGAAGTAAAGTTTCTGAGAATTAGTGTAAGATTTGATTGAAGTGATAGATTTAAAAAATTTGTTTAATTGGTAAAAATTTAAGGTTACCAAAATGCCCCTAGTAATATAAAATGTTATTTGTTAATGTTATATTTAATTGTAAAAATGTTTATAAAAAGTAAAAAATTAAAAATAATAATTAAAATTAATTTTTTAAAAGTAAAAAA